ATTTATTTACGAACACAACTTTAGAAAAGATTCTCGAAGCTTGTTTGGGACATTATATGAAACCTGATGTATTTGAGGTGAAATGGGGTTTGCTTATGAAGGAATTCAATCTGGAAGACACGAGATGGTTTAAAGACATGTTTACAAACGTGATTCATGGATACCCTGGATATTTTAATGATATTGCAATGTGTGGGTTGATGAAGACTACGTCGAGGTCAGAGAGTATGAATTCATTCTTTAATACTACTCAGAAAGTGGGAATTTACTTTTGAATTTCATGATGAATACGACACTGCCATTCAAAAGCAAAGGAATACTCAACGAGAGCTTGATAAGCATCAAAGAAAGCATCATATAAAATGCAAACACCTCGAGAAATAGAACTACAAGCATCAAAGGTTTATACAAGTACATTATTTTTTGAGGTGCAAAAGGAAATATATAAAGCAAGTTTTTTCTGTACATACTCGTATGTTGGTATTGAAGATGGGTGGGAAGTTTATATTGTGCACAAACAACACTAAAAGCAAAGCGAATTTAAAAATGAATTTAAGGTAATTTAATAGTTTTTTTTATGAAAAATGTAATGTTTATATATAATTCATATATGAATACTTATATATGATTGTTCTATATGAGTATATGAATGTAAATGTTTAATTTTTGTTTAAATTGTTTTTCATTTTTTTATTATGTTTTTATCAGGTTGAAATAAAAGCTGAAGAGAAAGAAATAAATTGCAGTTGTGAACATTTCAAGCGTATGGGTGTTTTATGCAGACATGCTTTTACAATAATGATGAGATGTGGTGTTGAAAGAATTCCTGAAAGGTACATTCTGAAAAGATGGAGAAAGGATGTGATATCAAGAAATTATCGTTTTAGTTCTCTTCAATCTGATTCAGGGGATTGTGAGAATGTGAAGCTAGTCAATGATTCATATTATAATTTTGAATCATGTTTGGATATTGTAAGAGATGACAAAAGAAATTGGCTTTGTTTGCTGAGAAACAACAGATGTTGTTGAAGGAATTTGAGAGTGAGAGTGATTATACATCTGCTGGATTGAAAAGCAAGACGGATGGTGAAGTCGTATGCAAGCTTATGGGTGTTTCTATTCCTATTCCAAAAGAGATTAATATTAATGTTCCTCAAGTTCAAAGCAATAAAGGTTCTGGAATCAAGAAAAGAATTCCAAGTGCAGGTGAAGTAGTATATGAAAATTCTAAAAAAAACATAGAATGTGTTCAGGGTGTGGAAAACGAGTTCCTTACAATTTACGTACATGTCCAGTAAGAATTGCAGCTGCTCAATCAACAAAAGACATTAGGGGTTTTTTTTTATGTTTTTTGGTTTTATTCATTTATGAATATATGCAGATAATAACCATAAACAATAATATTCATGTATGAATAATACACATTTATATTGATATGGTAAATTGAGATTTGAAATATATGTTTTTTTAAATGAATATATCATATTTGTTTTTTAATAAGTATAAATAAGTTATATTGATATGGTAAATTTATATGTGAAATACACATATTATTTGTAAATTATTCATAAATGAATAATTTATCATTTATCATTGAAAATGTTATTATTTACATATTAAAGGTGAATGAATATACAATGTTGGTATTCAATTATGAATAAACTTAAATAAAATTGAAAACTAGTATAAATGAATACAAATATGTGAACTTTGTTATACTAATAAATAAGTTATATTCATATTTGAACTTTTTTATGTTCATATCTGAACTTTGTTATACTAACATATTACTCCTAACTTAATCATAAATGAATATATCATATTCGTATTCATTTATAATAAACAGAAATAAACTTTGAAAATATTTGAATATAAAAAAATGACAGAAATAAGCTAACTTGTTTCTACTAATAAATAAGTTATATTCATATATGAAATTTGTTATATTCATATATGAACTTTGTTATACTGACATATTACTCCTAACTTAATCATAAATGAATATATCATATTCGTATTCATTTATGAATAAACAGAAATAAACTTTGAAAATATTTGAATATAAAAAAAACAGAAATAAGCAAATTGTTTCTATTACATAATCATTCAACACAAGATAAAAAAACCTGTTCATAAGCATTTCACAAACTATTTAAAACGATGTTCAATAACATTAACAAACCATCTAAAACTTTTTCGCAGAATCATCTTACATGTACTTCAATTCATTCATCTTCAACACAAACTGTTCTATAGCATCACACTTCATCACAAGCAATCATCAATATTCTTTTAAACCTTTTTGAATGGTTTGCATAGCCTTGTATGCATGATCAGTACGCACTTTGAATTCAACTTTTTGATATTTTTCAGCAAGATCCAACACCTTAGCCTTCAACATGTTAATTTCAGAAGTTAGCATCGGTGTGCATACCTTTGCCTGAGCTTCTCTAAAGTAGTTTGTTGAATTGCACTTTCTTTATGAAGACCTGGTTTCCACTTTGAGAGTGGTTGTCCCATATAGGTCTCCATATGTCTCATTGCAAAGACCCCACAATCAACTTTGTTTTTAACTGTTCTCCATGGCATTTCAAGTCGTTGGGGTTGATACTTTCTTTTGAGATTGCATTTGCTCTGGATGGTTTTTTCTTTAAAGTATCTCACAAACAAATTTTTCTGATCATTAAATAAAAATAAAAGTTAGATATGTAATAAATTGGTTCTTTTATGTTGTTGTGAATTGGTACATACCAAAGGTTTCAATAGTACTCCGTATTTCCCTTCATAATCCCCCTCAACTGCACTGTTGTCCAGAATTTCAATTGATGGTTTCTTTAAGTTGAAGACAATCACAAAAAGTGAGCACTTCTAACAACTGAAAGAATACCTGTTTTTATGTATATAATGGTAGTATTTTGTTGATAATATATATATATATAAAAATATATTGTTAATATATATATATATATATAAAATATCAAGTTTAATTAACATACCATGTCTTATCTTTTATGTTCAAGATTTTTTTGTACCCATCGGTACTGTCATGAAAGTTCTCCTTGAATTTTTCATACTTTCTTTCATCAGACAATGTTGAAGTTAGATAAGCAGTCTGTAACCAATATAATTTGAAGGATTAGTAAATTGTTAATCATAAATGAATATATCATGTTGGTATAATAATCATAAGTATATACTAAAGATATTTATTTTTGATTTTTTTATTCAAAGATGAATACATAATCATATGTGAATTTCAGTTGAATTTACATAATTATATTAAAGAATACATCATATTGGTATAATCATATGTGAATTTCAGTTGTAAAAAAATATAATATTCATAAATGAATACATCATATGGTGTATTCATTTATCAATAAAGAAGAAATTAAGGTTAGAACATAACTTACAGAAACTGCAACTTTCAAGAAGAGTCTGTATGGTGAATTTCCAAAATCCCTTTCCAGTTCTTGGTGGTTAAGTAAATCAGCCCAAGTGTCTAAAACTTCTCCAAAAATCTCTGTGCTTGCATATAGACTTTCCATAATTGCTCTTTCTGTTATCTGACCATATTTTGTCTGGACAACCACATCTCTGCAAATATATAATCAAAATGTCATACATTATTATCTATATAATAATCATATATGAATGTCTATAAAATAAAGTTACTTACGATGTATTCCCTTGCAAGTTGAACAACACTCACAGACAATACTCTCCTGATGTGTCAGTTTAGGTTTTGTGTCTATTATTCTGCATTTGAAAGGTGATTTGAAAGCATCGACAAGCTTCTTCTCTCTTGGTTCATCCAGATCATGCTTTGATGGTCCTACTTCAGTAGGAATTGCTACAGAGATTGGATTTGGATTAAGAACATTTTTGTTTGCTAATCTGATAACAACCTTGATGGTCGTCTTTGATTTGTTTCTTTTTTGTAAGTGGTTTTTTTTGGTGAAGATTCATTAGATTTTTTTACTTGAAGTTTGATCTGAATCTTGACTGAGACCTAGACTAAACTTGGATGAGTATCTGCATGCAGGAGATTTATCATATAAATAGTTGTAAGTTAATTATAATATTTTTTTTTATATTTGAAATGTTTTTCCAAATTGTTACCTCCTTCATTTCCTTTTGTCTTGTCAGCTTTTTGTGTCCTTTTTTTTGTTTTCATTTTCTGACTTTTTCTTTCCTGAAAGATAAAGAAATTTGATTAAGTAATCATTGTGGAATAAGTAATGTATTCATTTATGAATAAGTAATGCATACCATATTTATGAATAAGTAATACATATTTTGTATTTATTCGTATATTGTGTTATTTTTTTGTGAATAATAAAACTTATTATATTCATTTATTAGTGAATCAACTATTTACCTCTATCTTCTGCATTTCCTTTCTCCATTTCTGTTTGTTTATCTTCACCTCATCTTTCGTGTTCTTAGCTTCTGCTCCTCCTTTATTTCCATGTTCAGAGTTTTCCTTGCCTGAAACTATACATCATATATGAATATTTTATTTTTTACTCATTTATATAGTGTATTATTCACTTATGAATAAACATGTTATTAAAAAATCAATATAAATATTGTAATATATTTTAATCATTCATTTACCTGTATCATCTCCCTTTCTGTTTTCAACTTCTTTTCCTTGTTTATGTGCACCTTCTGATTTTCCTTTTCTGCAAGATCCATTTAAGGTTATTATTAAAATATAATTAATGAATGAATAGTGAATAATAATAGGTTGACAGTAACATACCTTGAATAACTTGACTGATTAGAGTATTAGTTTGACTTTTAGTCATTGGTGACCCTGGTTAAAATTTAATAAACAAAATTGTTATTGTGTATTAATATTTTTATATATTTTTTTAAAAATACAAGAAGACAAAATTACCTATACAATATTATCCAAAATAGTTTTTTTCATTCAGGGTCATTCCAATTTCATCTTCTTGACTATTTAACTTGAAAATCCAGTTCCAAGGACATTACCACAATGTTGTCAACAACTTTATCCAACAAATTTTCATTTCAGTTTGTTGAATAGTCTCTTCATGATTATTTGTTTCTTCAGCATCATCATCTTTTTTCTCTACATCATTATCATTTTCATTGTTCTTTCCATCTTTCTCTTTTACTTCAGTTTCACCATCTTTTTGATTCTTATCTCCATCATTCTTTATTGATTCATTCTCTGCTTCATTTGAATCAAGCAAGTAATCCACTTCCGGTTGACTTCCATCATTATCATTTTCTTCTTCACGTTTCTTCTTCCATCTTTATTTTCTTTTTGATCATTTGTTTTTTGACCCATTATTGGTGTCAAATTGATACCTTCAACTCCAGTTTCATTATTTGGAAATTCAAAAAGTGTGTGCTTTCAGTTTTTTCTCCAACATTAGTTTTTGTCATCTTTTCTTTGAAAATCCTAAAACTTTCCTTTTCAGGGAACTTTGTTATCGCATCATTGAGATTTGAATTCAGCTTTTCTTTCATCTTCTCAAAACTATTAAGAATTTTAGATATTTTTGATTCATATGCCTATGTAATAAAAAGAAGTATGATTAGAGATTAATATAAGAATTTAATGAAATCATATATTATTAACATGTTCAAACTTATTACCTTAACAGAATGATATTCATCTTTATGAGAATCACTGTCTTCAAGATCTGTATCTCCTTCATCTTGTTCATTAACAAATTCTTCATTTAATTCTCCAAGTCCAAATCTACCTTCTTCTTGTTCAAATGTCTCTCGATATCTAATTTTCTCTGAACTCCAATAACAAATTGTTGGACGTTTACGTGTTACTATTAAAGCTTCTGAGTGGATGTTATCAGCATAGAACAACTGCACATAAATGATAACTAATTGATATTCATATATGAATAAGTAATTCAAACCATTACTTATTCATACATGAATATATATATATATATATATATATATATATGAACAAGTAATATTATTTTTTACTTATTCATATATGAATAAGTAATGTAAAGAATTACATGTGAACAAGTATATTTTTCTTATTCATATATGAATATGTGATATTCAGTTATGAATAATTAATATTATTAAAAATTGAGTGTAAACATTATAATAACTTACCACCAAGAAAGCTAAAGGTCCAACAAAGTAGCTGTTATCTGAGTATGGTATGTATGAGTTCATTGTTCTGACAAGACAGTCCAAAACATAGCTGCACCAATCTATGTTGCTGATATCTGTTTTTCTTGAAATATAACTCAAAGGAAACAGGTTGCATCTTCCCATTGATGTTGACTCACAAAATGTGTTGACAAAAAGAACTAAGAAGTTCAATTTGAAATTGAAATCAGCTTCTGTGGTACCAACGATAACTTTTTGATCGCATTCAATCGGATGATTGATCCTTCTTGAAACCGTTGCTTTCATTCATCATAACTAGTATCATCTTTAGGCCATTGATCCAGTTGTGTAAGTAGGTTCCACCTATTGGAATGCCCAACATGTCATGAACAGACTGTGATGTTATTTCAGTTCCTTTCCTTCAACATCTATCACATTCTCTCTCATAATTAAATTTTTGAAGAATATAAAATCCCAGCTTCAATGGTATGTCTGTGATTTTCATTTTTAGCAAACTTCCAAAACCCATAGATCTTACACACTCTTTTTGTTTTTTGCTCAACCCAAGGATTATAGATAGTAATGCCTCTGGTGAACATCTGTTTTTCATCGAGTAAAATTCCTTTACCACTTGTTTTTTTCTCTTTCTTGATTGGTGACTCCTTTTTTTTTTGCCTTCTTTGATGGACGACTACTTTCAAAATCTGATTCTGAATCATGTAGTTGTCGTTTTTCAGGAGTTTTCCTTTTTGATGGACTTTTTCTGCTTTGATGCTTTCTTTTCTTTGGTGTTTTTGTTTCTTTTTTATCTGGTAAATGAAAACATATAATATTTGAATAAGTTATTGATATATGAATATGATATATGCTCGTTGATTTATTAATATTTATTTATTACAAAAATATAACTAGTATATACAATTTTATTAATATATGAATATATTAGATATGATAGGAATTTTGTACCTTTCGCATTTTTCCTCTTCAAATATGTTTCTATCATTGTTGTGGGGTCTTTATCAGAAATACAAATCTTCTTACCTTCATGAATTAGTGAGTAGAATATAAATAATTTTGTAATACATTTTACAAAGAAAATATTTTATATTCATAAATGAATAAATGAAGATAACAATTATATTATATATATATATATATATATATATATATATATAGATATATATTTATATATTCACATATGAACATAAATGTATGAATAATTGTATCAATAAAGATTAGCTTTTTAATACAAACAAAGCTACCATATACATTTATTATCATATGAATACAGGAATTCAATAGTTTTTTTATTATAAAACATATATAGATTGTGATTGAATTATTCATATGTTAATAGAAGAAAATTATAGCTGAGATATATAAGTTATTCATAAATGAATATAATAGATGTATACATATTTATGTTGTTCCAAAACAAAACAACACAAATGTATGAATACTTGTTTCCATTCACATATGATTAGCTTTTGAATACAAACAAAGTTAAGCCATATATTTATTCATATATGAATACAAGAATTCAATAGTTTTTTTTATATAATATAAACATATACAGATGAATTATTCATGTTAATAGAAGAAAATTATAGGTGAGAGATATACAATTTTTATAAATTATAGCAGGGATATAAAAGATCTGATATGTTTTTATACTTTTGTGATTTTTCTGCATTGATCGTGTTTCTCTCATTGTTGGTGAATCTTTATCGGAAATGTTAGTCTTCTTACCTTCATTCAATAGTGAGTAGAAGATAAATGAGTTTGATATTCACAAATGAATATTTGAATAAAACATATATATTCATGTTTTTTATTCACATATGAATATATATGTTATATTCATATATGAATAGAACATATATAAGTCATTTTTGTTTTATTCATATTTGAATAATGTATATATGACAACAAATTATGTTCTATTCATATGTGAATATAACATACATATTCACAAATGAATATTTGAATAAAACATATATATTCATGTTTTTTATTCACATATGAATATGTATGTTATATTCATATGTGAATAGAACATATATAAGTCATTTTTGTTGTATTCATATTTGAATTTTGTATATATGACATCAAATTATGTTCTATTCATATATGAATATAACATACATATTTACAAATGATATTTTGAATAAAACATATATAATATATATATATATAGATAATATAGAATATATATTCATATTTTTTTATTCACATATGAATTTGTATATTTTATTCATATGTGAATAGAACATATATAAGTCATTTTTGTTGTATTCATATTTGAATATTAGTTTTGCTTATGTTCAGAAGTAAACAAAACATATCTAAGTTAATCAGATCTAAATGGAATACCTATTTTATTTACCTTTTTGATTTGTTTTTGTTTGTTGTTTATATGTATGCTTCACTATTGGTGTTGTTTCTGTAAGGGTAAGTAGTTAATATTAGGAAAGCATAAGCAAATGTGAAGTAACGTTTATATTTTGACAGAAAAGTTGTGAATAAGTATGAAAAATGAAGAGAATATGTAAAATCATTTATATATCAACTAATAATGGATGATTCTTACAAAAATTTCAAGTAAATCAAGTAATAACGAAGGAGAGTTACGAGAATGAACGATTATCACAAAATTTGAAGTAAACAACCTAGTTTGAAGAATGAACAGTGTGAAAACAAAATTTTTAGTTCTAAATCAACTAATAATGAACGAAGATTACGAAAATTTTCAAGTAATCAAGTGATAATTTTAGAAATGATTAGAAATCGTTAAAAATCGAAGAAAAAAGCGCCGATAGTTACCTTTCATAGTCAAGAGTGAGGAAATAGTTTCGTTTATGCTTTCGTCGGAAAACATTTTTCTTCGTTTTCTTCTTCTGGATGTTGAGAATCCTTTATGTTACTGAATGCTTCTGCAAATGGTTTTCGTGTTATGGGGTATCGAAGAGGGAAATGATGGTTTTCTGTCGAGATTTGATGTGTGATGAAATTACTCAAGTGCCCTGACAGTTTAATGTTTTTGGGTTGTTTACAAATTTGTCACCGCTCATTAACGTATTTGGATTATTTACAAGTTTGCCACCACGCGTTTTTTTAGCTTATTAAATGATTGGCTGAGAATGGTTTCTTCATTCTCAACCTTTTTTTTTCTCAATTGAACCCTTCTCTCTCTATCTATATATATATAATATATAATATATATATAGATATAATATATGATATATATATATATATATATATATATATATATATAAAAGACCATCTTAGACCTCTATATTCAACACCAATTTTATGTTAATGAAAAATAAATCAAACATTTTAATGGTGCACTAATTATGATCTTTATCTGTACTTTAATAATATAACAAAAGTTAGTAGGGTTAAATAAAAATTTAAATGATAAAGAATTTATTATTTCATTATTAAAATTGATTTTTTTTATTTTATTTATTTATTTTTTTTGTTTTTAGTGTAAAATTTTAATATGTCGTGGAAGTGAGAACTTTAGTGTTCAAAAATTAGCATTTCGGCATTTTTATTGTTTTGTTATTAAACTTGGTCTAAAAAACCAAATATTGATAAAAAAACCAAATATTGATAAAATATATGAGAAATAATTTAAATAGTGAAATCAAATTTATCAAAAAAGCGTTATTTATATGAGGTCAATTATTTTGTAACCATAATAGTCAACCGTTTTTAAATCTCTAAACATTGAGTTTTATTATTATTATTATTATTTTAACAGGCAGAATTTTTTCTTATATTTCTTATCGTTTGTACTAAAAAAACATAGCTAGTTATAAAAATTAATAAATACCATTATCTCAAATATTTTAGTAATAAAAGATTTTTATAGACACAAATTAATATAAAGATTATATTGGTCTAATATAGTTTTGTTTTCTGATATTTGATTTAATAATAATAATAATAAACAATAATAATTGATTGGTCTAATACATGGTTGTCAAAATCGCGATCCTGATCGTAGGATCGATCTTACGATCCTACGTATGAAAAACGATCTAGATCGTAAAAGGATCGTATTTGGGGTAGGATCGCAGGTAGGATCGTAAGATTGTAGGTAGGATCGAGATCCGATCCGATCCTACCTTCCCTTGCTTTTTTTTTTTTTTTTTGCAAATAATTTTTTTTTACCCCTTTATGTCTTTTACCATTTATCAATTACCATTTGATATTATGACTTATAACTAATATTTTGAAGTTTTTATAACTTTTGAACGAAAAATTGAATATTTGAAATATTTTTCATGATTAAAAATTATAAATTAAAATTATATTTTATTTTATGAAATATTAGGATCCCGATCCCGATCTTGCAAACCCAAAAACGATCTTAAGTGGGATCCGATCTTGACAACCTTTGTCTAATATAGTTAAGTTATTAAACATTGTTAAAATAAGAGAGCGCAAATTACACAAATATCCATCTTGCTGTTCTTCCTCCACGTTCTCCTTTCGCTCTCTCTCCATTTTTAAGCAATTCATTTCGTGTACTTCCAGTAAACGCTTGACCCAATCCAATTTTGACCCTCCATCGCCATCTTCATCTCCTGCGCCTCCTCCGCCTTAAAACGGTGGTGCTACACCGCTGCACCTTTCTCACGATATACTCCACGCCAAATTTCGGAGAATGTCTCTTTCTAAACGAGTCTCATTAACTCCTCAATCACCGGCACAACCTCAACAAGATCTCAAGCACCGAGTGATCACTTGCCTCAACAAGCTCTCTGACCGTGATACGCTTGCCGTTGCTGCGACGGAGCTGGAGTCTATCGCTCTCAGCCTCAATCATGACTCTTTTGCGCCTTTCCTCACTTACCTCTCGGCTACGTCGTCGTCTGACAAGTCGCCTGTACGGAGGCAATGCGTCCGTATCTTGGGTGTTCTCTCAATAACTCACGGTGATGCTTTGTCACCACACGTTTCTAAAATGCTTGCCGCCGTAGTTCGCCGCCTCCGTGACCCTGATTCCGCTGTCCGGTCTGCCTGCGTTGGAGCTGTGTCGTCCATTGCATCGGAAATCTCTAAACCGTCCTTCTCTTCGTTGTCAAAGCCGTTAGTGGAAGCCGTTCTGACAGAACAGGATCAGAACTCTCAGATCGGCTCAGCGTTGTGTCTATCGGCGGCGATAGAGGCGTCGCCGGATCCTGAACCGGCACAGTTGCAAAAGCTATTGCCTAGGGTTTTGAAATTGATTAAATCCGATGGCTTCAAAGCTAAACCGGCGCTGTTAACTGTTATCGGCAGCATTGCTGCAGCTGGTGGCGCCTCTTCTAACCGGAATTCACTTAATTCCTTGATTCCGTGCTTGGTTGACTTTCTGAGTAGTGATGATTGGGCGGCGAGGAAGGCGGCAGTTGAGGCGTTAGGAAGGTTGGCAGTGGTGGAGAAGGTTCACTTGACAGCTTTCAGGTCATCATGTCTTGCGTCTTTAGAGAATAAGAGATTCGATAAGGTATCAACTATCAAATCATACTATTTCAATTTCATATGAATGTTCTATATACGGTCTGTGTAAAATCATTTCAGGAATCGAGCAATTTCTTTTTCCTAATGGCTTCAATTTGATTAACAAATGTAACAGGTGAAGGTAGTTCGTGAATCGATGAATCAGACATTAGAATTGTGGAAGGAGATTCCAGGGCATCTAGATGAAGTTCCTGTTTCACCTCAACTGAATGCCAATTCATCTTCTAAAGGTAAACTGTTTTTGTGATTGATTCGAGAAATTCCAAGCTTATTGGGATGAAATCTTCCTAAAACCTTCTTGACACATCAATTAGTTGTTGCTTATCTTTTGGTTAGGTATTCGTATTATTTTCATTTTGTTCAATCATGGTGGTTGGTTTTCTGGTAAAAGTGTGTTAGGTGATCTAAACTAAAATTATTCATACCTAATTTGATTCTTATGGATCCAGATAATGGTCCTCCTGTTACCTTTTTAGAGACTCCATTAAAGGAAACAATTCCCAGTAGCAGAAATTCTCCAATTCAACGATCATCTCCAACTACAACACAAAGTAGAAGTCCCCCAAAGAGTAACTACAGGAAACCAAATGCTTCAATTGCCAGAAAAGTTGATTTTGAGAAAGAAACTGATTCCAAAGTCAACATTCCTGCATCCATGGATTGTAAAGAAAAGTTCATTAATAAAAAAATGGAGCCTTCTGAAAGAGTAGATACAGACAAAACAATCATCTTGGAAACCGAAAAACGAGTTACAGAACAGGTGATTTCTAACAAAACACGAGAGGGCAATTTCGGAAAACTTAATGGTTCAAGATTTGGTTCTCGTGTAGTTCCATTTATTGATGATTGTGAGTTTGAGATAAATGGAAACACAATCGAATATGATTATGGAAACCAAAAAGAAGTTGAAGATTTGTCTTGGATCCAAAAACAACTTGTTCAGATCGAAAATCAACAGTCCAATCTCTTAAATCTTTTACAGGTGCTTTGACATTATTACATTAATACCCTTCTCAAATATTTCTTTTAATCATCAACAACTATTTGTTTAATTTATTTCAGAAATTCATGGGAAATTCCCGTAGTGGGATGAATTCTTTGGAGACACGAGTAAATGGTCTAGAAAGAGCACTTGATGAAATATCATATGATTTAGCAATATCAAGTGGGAGAGTTTCAACCAAAGATTCTTGTTGCATGGGTACCGAGTTCTTGAGTCCTAAATATTGGTGGAGGACAGAAGGGCAATATGGTCCAAGATCACCTTTCCGTGGAACTCACCAATCACTTTCCGACAGGTGTCCCGACATTACTAAACTCGGTAGTCCTACTCCTACAGCAACTCCCGGAAGAAGCTTCGAGTCATTAATGAATGCACGAAAGAAGAAAGCTGCTCAGGTCCAAAATCGTAATTTTGACAGGTTTGATGGGGGCTCTTTGGGCAATTGCATACAACAGCGAATCTAAAACAAGGTATATTTGAACATCCCAAGTAACTATTATTTGTGTTGGTTCCTTTGTTTTTCCACATTTGCCCTTGGCCTGGGACCACTCCTTAAATAGAATATCCATCTTTATTTTAACAATTTTTTTTTTTCTGTAATTTCAGATCTGTGTATAAGCTGATAGAAAGATCATCCCATTATTTACCACAAGGCATCAACACTCGAAAGGTATTGGAGAATTGAGATAGATTATGTACAGAGAAAAGCCCTTTTGCTTTTTTTATTTTTATTTTTTATTATTTTTTTCATTGTTATACATGGGTTTTGGGTATTGTGGACATTATTTATGTGTTCACAAAGTTGAAGCTTATATCGTTTCTGGGGTTGTGCTTTCACTGCCATTGAGACAATTTGCAAATGGTAAGTAAAAGTTTACCCCAATTGTTATGTGTGATTTACTTTCCTATTTGGGTAAGTTACGTGAATGAAATACGGATATTTACATTTTTTATAAATACATTTATACTCCCGGCATTAAAAAGCGTACATTTTAGAATGAGAATGCTGTGAAGTGTGAAATATATACAAGAGAAGAAATTAGGTCATTATTCAAAAACATTTAAAGAATGTTGGATATCATTTGGTTAATGAACCGGTTATGAAGGCCCAATAAAATGAAAAAAAACCGGTCCCTGGTTAAAAGAGACATGTGGCCTTTTTTTTTTTTTTTTTTTTTTTTTTTTTTTTTTTTTTTTTTTTTTTTCTTCTGTCTTGTTTGAAGCAATTTTTGGCCCCTTTTGGATAATTTTCCCCTATAGTATGTGTATAGATAAAGATAGCTTTAGTTAGTTTGGTTTCACCAACTAAAAAGACCTCTATAATATCAAATTCGTAGCATACATCATGGTCTCGACTTTCGTATGCCACAATTACGAATATCAAATGTTCTCGAATCTTATATTCATTTTCTCGTCTAATTTTGTCTAATAACTTTTCTATATTTCACATTTTAAGGTTCGTATTCTTGTTTTTTTTCATGTGTAATATTTTTTCCGTATCAAAAAATGACATCAAAACAACAATATGATCTTATCGACCTGACCACATTTTGGTGGTAATCAAAGATCATGGTCGGAAAGCCCCATTTGACATGGTTAAAATGAAGAGTTGGATCAAAAATTCGCAAATGCAAAATATGGTGCACTACTTAACGACATACTAAAATTTGACGAAAGATGTTACGTTAAAATGTCATATGTTGCAACAAGTCACAACCTGTATTAGGTAAATAGATAAGAGATAACAATAAATATAAGAATGTGACAGTTACGTAATTTTTTTTTAATTATTGGACAAAATAAAAAACAAATAAATAAAAGAAATAGTGGAAGATATATACTTAAATTTGCAAAATAATAATTAATGTTTATAAAAACTTATCCCACAAAGAAGATAAAAAGAAAGAGATAGTAGCTTTTTGATTGTATAAAAAGAAGTGGTGAAATGTTATAGGAAAATTAGAGAAATAACACAATTCCTCCCACATTGATTGATGCTTTTAGGAAATGGTTGTTGCAAATTGAGCTTTTTTAAAAAAATAATGCAAAATAATTCTATTTTGCAAAAAAAATCGTTTTAAGGGTTCAAGTAAGCCGTTTTTTAAGGCATTCGACCGGTCCGTTAAATCCAGGTTTTTGCAACCGGCTGGGGTTAGACCTAGGGGTGAGCATGGTGCGGTTTTAGGGCCAAATCGACCCGCAAACCGCAAAGTACGGTTTTTGAATTCTAGAAACCGTTGGGTGCGTTTTTTCAATGGTTCGATTTTACGGTTTGTGAGTGCGGTTTCGGTTTATACCGGTTCGGTGTCGGTTTTAAACAGAGTCAAACATATGGTGTGGTTTTTTATGTTCACCGATAGGATTTTTTTTAACCGTAGTGTTAATGTGAAGATTTATGATTGTATGACATGCCGTCATTTTGTTTCCTCACATTTAGAAGCGGTAATTTTGAGTATTTTATGTTGTTTACTTGATCACTTCATTTGCAACCCATATTCTCAAACTCATTTTTTTATTCAATTTGTGCTTAGAAGTTACAAGCTGACAACTTGTAGCCCACATAGTGTTTACACTTTACACATAATCATTAAGTCACAAACACGAAGTGACAAACTCACATATTAAACCTAATACCTAATTACCGTCAAGTGCAATATATAATATATGTATAAATTAGAATTTATTAGTTTTTTAAATAATATGTATAATTGTATAATATAAATTAGTGATTGATTTTATTGTTAATAAGCTTGCAGTGCGGTTTGGTTTTGGTGGTCCGGTTTCTAGATAAAAACCGCACCGCACCAATAAATTCGGTTTTTCAAAAAAATAAAATCCGCACAATCGGTTTTTGTGTCGGTTTAGGTTTTTCGGTTGTGGTTTATTGCGGTTTTTGCGGTTTTTCCTTCATCGGTTCGGTTTTTGCTCACCCCTAGTTAGACCCAATCCACAACAAGTATTGTTGAATTTTCTGTTTTTATGTGATTCACTTAATTGACCGACCAAATGCTTTTCTATTATAGATTCTCACTACTTTTCATATTCATATATTTGCATAACAACTTATTAGATAAATTCAAATAGTTGACAAATGATCAAATATACTATTACTCTCAAATTATTTGGTTCTCCACATACGAGCCACACTTTATATGGAATATTAGAACAAGTGACTGGAATAGGAAAGTAAAGTGATTGTTTTTAATAGGGCTAATGACATAAAAACCCTCAAATTTGCACAAAATTGACGGATTTGCCCAAAGTTCAAATTTAGGTCCGTTTTTGCCTTAAACTTGCATTTAATATGTCGTTTTTGCCAAGTAGCCGGTTTCCCTTTAATCAACCGGTTACCACTTGCTTAGGTGGAAGGCTCATTAACGTCGTTTGGCAAAAAAAACTCCAATTCCGTTACATACGTTAAACTGTTCTCATCTCCCTCTATAACCCGATCACTCTTCACCTTTTCCTATTTCATCGACTGTATACACAGAGAAAAAAAAAGGGTTTTCTTGGAGACGATTAGGGTAAAAGTTTCTTCGAAAGGTAAGGTTTTTACAGGTTGACTGAAATTACGTTTACATTCAACATTTCTTGAAATGTGTTCCTAAAGTTAGTGTGTTGATGCAAGAGGGTGTAATGTCTTCATCAGACGAATGGTACGCTGACCCCTTTGCTGGCATACATGAGCCATTTGCTGGCTTGAGTGAAATGGATTTTGAACTCCACGGCATTTACATGGACCACGAACCAGAGGAAGAATTTGTGTCCTCACTCGATAAATGTAAGGATATCTTCCTAAATGTTCTATTAAGTGATGAAAACCTACGAAATTCTAATATGGCAGATGAAGTCAGAGCACAAGTGTACCATGCTACTGATTGGCAGAGTGATGAAGATGAACAGGAGGTATTGAAAAACAACTATAGAATTCATGACCTAACCATCAAGTGGGACAAGATGGTACCAAAGCTTGGTGACATCTTTGAATCCCCTGCCCAACTGAAGTTTTGTGTCACCAATTATGCAGTGTCACATGGCTCTCTAGAATATACTTTGAAAAATGTGATAGTAAAAGAATTGTAGCTAGATGTGGCAATAGGAAGGAAGAGAATAAATGCCCTTTCAGAATTTATGATGCATGGATGTACAAAGAAAGATCTTTTCAGATCAAAGCTATGAATGGTGACCATAAATGTTGTAGACAGTTTAAGTTTGGATCCATTGTGTCCCCTGAATGGATTGGAAGACATTATGTGACGGAAATTGCAAATAAGCCAAAGATGAAACTTCAGGAAATGATTGATGACATCAGACAAAGGTATAGGTGTGTGGTATCTATAGGACAAGTTAGAAGGGCAAGGAAATGGGCCAAAAACTTAATAGAAGGTAAACTCACTGAGCATTATGCAAGGATATGGGATTATGCCCATGAATTGTTAAGGTCAAACCCGGGGTCCACATGTCAAGTTGGTGTAACAACCAATCCAGATGGAAATAATTATTTTCACAGGTTTTACATTTGTTTCAAAGCACTAAGTGATAGCTGGAAAAGAAGGTGTAGGAGAGTAATTGGGCTTGATGGGTGCTTTCTAAAGGGGCAGGTGAAGGGTGAACTGCTAACAGCCATTGGTAGAGATGCCAACAACCAAGTTTATCCAATTGCTTGGGCTGTTGTTGATGTGGAAAATAAGTCCAACTGGACATGGTTCCTTGAGCTACTCAGTGGTGATCTAGACCTTATTGATGGAAGGGGCTTGGTAGTTATATCAGATCAACATAAAGTAAGTTTCTTTATAACATATTAATCCTTTTCAAATTACTTATAAATACTTACATGTATGCTGGTTTTTGTATAGGGTTTATTGCAATCTGTTAAAGATATATTGCCACATGTGGAGCACATGCAATGTGCCCGACACATATATGCAAATTTTAGAAAAGCTTACACTGGAATGGAGTTGAAGAAGCTGTTTTGGGCTGCAGCTATGAGCTGTGTGGAAGGTGATTTCAAGAGACATATGGACACAATTAAAAAGCTCAATCCTGGTGCATATGAGCATCCCATGTCCAAAGAACCCCAAACATGGTGTAGAGCTTACATGAGTACAGGGTATGCATGTGAGGCAGTGGAGAATGGTATATCAGAGTGCTTCAACTCCATCATTGTGGATGCTAGGAAAAAACCATTGATCACAATGCTTGAAGAAATAAGGATATACATCATGGATAGGTTTGCTCACATGATTGAGGAAAACACTAAATGGAATACCCGTATATGTCCAGCAGTGTTAAAGAAGATGAATCTTTTTGGGAAGAACATGAGGTAACACTTTAACATGTAACTTTTGTTTTAATTTCATTAGGTAAAACTTTAACATGTAACTTTTCTTTTAATTTCATTAGGTAAAACTTTAACATTTAACTTGTGGATGTAGGTTTTGGTTAGTAATTCATAGTCAACAACATGTGTTTGAAGCAAGGAGAGGATGTGATAGCTACATGGTGGATTTAGATGGAAGGCATTGTACCTGCAGGTTATGGGATCTGGCTGGGATCCCATGTGTTCATGTCATTGCAACCATCAACTATATCCAGCAAACACCTGATGAGTACATTGATCACATGTTTTCCAAGGAACAATTCCATAAGTGTTACTCTGCTAACATTAGTCCAGTGAATGGTTCAAATCTATAGCCTCAAACTGAATTCATAAAGCCCTTGCCACCAGTGTCAAGGAGAATGCCTGGTAGGCCAAAGGTCAATAGAAGGAGACATGTAAGTGAAAATGATGGAAGAGTACACACCCCAAGAACTGTAAGGTGTGGTAAGTGCTTTGAGTATGGCCATAACCAGAAGGGATGCAAGAATGCAACCAGGGAACCTGTCGCTATGCCACCAAAGAAGAAAAGAAGGCCAAGGAAGGAACAATGTGAACCCAGTTAAGCATCATGTGATAGGTCTGAGAGGCAGGAACCTGTCCCTATGCCACCAAAGAAGAAAGGAAGGCCAAGGAAGGAACAATTTGAACCCAGTCAAGCATCATGTGATAGGTCTGAGAGGCAGGAAGCAGTTCCTATGCTACCAAAGAAGAAAGGAAGGCCAAGGAAAAAGGTCCAATCTGACCCAAATCAAGCATCAGGTTCTACATTTGTTAGAAGCAAAAAGAAGTTGGGGATAAAAAGAGGCGGTGGCATTGTTGAAGATAGAGTTCTACTTGATGAGCATGATGGTTTAGATGGTCATGTTGAAGGTAGGGGATGTGAGGAACAAATGAAAGATTTGTTTGACAAAGAAGATATTGATGATGACAGTTTGGTTGATATGATGTGCACTTTTGAAGCTTCTCTTAGCCAACCAAAGTATAATTATCAAAAAGGTGATGGATTCCAAGATGCAATGGATGTTGTTATTCAAAGTATTCATCATGCTAATGATGACAAAGGTGTTGAGGATGTTGAACCTGACCTGACAAAAACACTTGATGAGGTTGAAGATGCAATGGATGCTATTCTTAAAGGTACTGATGAAAAAAGTCAATGTGAGAATGAGGGTAATCCTGAACCTGAATTCACTGAAGGAAATGCAAGTGATGTTCTCCCAGAGATGGTGATGCTAGATCTAGAAAGTGTAGCAGACCTACTTGGGGCAGGATATAGCATGGCTGAAATAGAGAGCATGAGAGGGGTTCAAGTTGAATTGGATGATATGCCACCAGTTGAGATGGTTAGTTTGACTTCATCATTTTATAATTTCTAACATTAGTAACAAACATGTTTATATCTTTTATTAATAAGTATTTTTCAAATTTTTATTAACAGGATGTGAATGAAGTTGAGGATATTCCATATGTTGATGGTGTGATGGAAGGAAATGAGGATGATGGTGATGCTGATGATGCTGGTGACGTAGAAGGTGAGGGTGAGGGTGATGGTGATGGTGCTGGTGAGGGTAATGGTGCTGGTGAGGGTGATGGAGAGGGTGATGGTGCTGGTGAGGATGATGGAGAGGGTGATGGTGATATTGAGGATGAAGGTGATGGTGCTGGTGAGGATGATGCAGCAGATATGGAGGAAAATGATGCTGATGATGAAGGGCATGTACCACCTAGAAGGACAAGAAAGCCCTCAGAAAGGATCATCCTGCAAAAGCTGAAGAAACCTTGTTTTGACAAAGATGGAAGGGGTTCCACATCTAGCAATCCAGTAGATTTGGAGTAGTTACCTAGGTATATGGGGGCAAAAGTGGGGATGGTATCATTGGGCAATTGTATAGGTAGCCCTTTTTGTTTATTTTTTGATATACACCCACTACTTGCAGCATACATCCATTTGTTTATGGCTTTCCTTTTTTGGATATTTTTTAGGCTTTTGGGTACATGTTTTGGTATACAAAATGGATGGCTGCTACATGCTAGTAAAACTTATGTAATGGATGCTTTATATTAAGGTTTATAATGGATGCCCCCTATTATGGTAACCATGATGTTTTTATTTTATTTTCTAGTAAATGTTAAGCATTAACAATGTACTTTCATTAGTGCAATTCCTTTTATGCAAGTTAGTGCAATTCCATTCATGCAAAGTTTACTTTCATTGTCAATGTAACCAATGTACTTTCATTGTACTTCCATTCATTAGCCCTTCCTTTTATGCAATGTACTTCCATTCATGCAACATATACATGAGATAGCAATTAACTACCATTAATAACATTACCATTAATACCCTTAATACATTACAAACATGTAACATTCAGCCGTTCAAAAAAAACATTACAAAGATGTAACAATTCTTCATTTCATTAGTGCAATTCCTTTTATGCAAGTTAGTGCAATTCCATTCATGCAAAGTTTACTTTCATTGTGAATGTAACCAATGTACTTTCATTGTACTTCCATTCATTAGCCCTTCCTTTTATGCAATGTACTTCCATTCATGCAACATATACATGAGATAGCAATTAACTACCATTAATAATATTACCATTAATACCCTTAATACATTACAAACATGTAACATTCAGCCGTTCAAAAAAAAAACATTACAAAGATGTAACAATTCTTCATTTCATTAGTGCAATTCCTTTTATGCAAGTTAGTGCAATTCCATTCATGCAAAGTTTACTTTCATTGTGAATGTAACCAATGTACTTTCATTGTACTTCCATTTATTAGCCCTTCCTTTTATGCAATGTACTTCCATTCATGCAACATATACATGAGATAGCAATTAACTACCATTAATAACATTACCATTAATACCCTTAATACATTACAAACATGTAACATTCAGCCGTTCAAAAAAACATTACAAAGATGTAACAATTCTTCATTTCATTAGTGCAACTCCTTTTATGCAAGTTAGTGCAATTCCATTCATGCAAAGTTTACTTTCATTGTACTTCCATTCATTAGCCCTTCATTTTATGCAATGTACTTCCATTCATGCAACATATACATGAGATAGCAATTAACTACCATTAATAACATTACCATTAATACCCTTAATACATTACAAACATGTAACATTCAGCCGTTCAAAAAAAACATTACAAAGATGTAACAATTCTTCATTACCCTTAATATATTACTAATACAGGAAAAACCAACAAAACTACATCTTAATAACCACTATTGCTAGCATCAACGATATAACCACTAACAACCCTATGATCACTTCTAACAATGGCTTGATCTCCTCTGTATGACACATCTCCATATTTTGACCTAGTTCTTCATCCGCCCATTTGAAAAAACCATAGTTACCTCCTTCCACCTACAACAAAAAAAAATTAGGGTTCTATTACATACGTTCCTCTTTGGGAAGTTAGAGCAGCCCTAAAATTTTAGGGAGAAATTAGTACAAAAATAAATAGATTTTTACCTGATAATTAGGGCAGCCCCAAAATTTTCGTCCTTGGTTATCAGGTGTTCGTGAGACTGATACACCACAAACATCACCACAGTCGCATCTTATTACCTTCTTGTTCCTCATTCTTGTACCACCATTGAAGCTTGATCTTGAAGACGAAGTTGTCATTTTTCCGTTGTAGCTCTGTGACTAACTGTGGGGGTCGAAGGGATCAATTGCACACGAGGATGTCTGTGAATGAGTTTTTAAATGATAAATGTCACGTATCTTCCACCTAAGCAAGTGGTAACCGGTTGATTAAAGGGAAACCGGCTACTTGGCAAAAACGACACATTAAATGCAAGTTTAAGGTAAAAACGGACCTAAATTTGAACTTTGGGCAAATCCGTCAATTTTGTGCAAATTTGAGGGTTTTTATGCCATTAGCCATTTTTAATAATACCAAAGCTACCAGAAAATTAATTCTCCCATTTAAGTGCGTAAATGTGTATTCTTTTTTTGGACTAAACGGCGTGGTAACGGGGACACCGGCGGTATCCGACGTGTCACCCTTTCACCGCCAGTGAACACCCCGCCGTGAAGAGGGTTTTACCGCTGGTGAAGTACCGCCGGTGGTCTTCTACCGTTGGCAAAATTTTAATTTTTGTGGCATTTTGTGGAAGGAGACGTTGCCAAACGGTCGGCAACGACTGGTTTGGCAATTTTCCTTACATTAATTTTTGTGCAAATCGAACGCAATTAGAAAGTAGTCTTGCAAAATTTAAGTAAACCTTAGAAAATACTTTTGTAAAAACCATGCATATCACTAATCTGAATATAAAATACTGTAACAATGTCACTTGTCAGGTTTTGTGTCCAAATTTTGATGTATCTTCTGGAGAAAATTCGAAAGTAGTCTTGCAAATTTTAAGTAAACATTAGGAAATACTTTTGTAAAAAACATGCATATCACTGATCTTTGTCAGGTTTTGTGTCCAAATTTTGATGTATCTTCTAGAGAGAAATCGATAATTTATTTGCAATTATTTAAGACAAAAATATATATTAAAACTGTTTTACGATTTAGTATTAAGTGAGTTGATTCTGGAGAATGATTGGACGACAAATCTAGAATCCAATGATAACTTGATAAGTTTTTTAAGATATAACAGAAACAATAGCTAGGTTATAGACTTATAGGTGTATATTTACTATTTGTTTACTACTCAAATATATTTATCTAATGGAAACTAAGTTAAAAGGAATATGAAATTAGTTTAGGCCATGGTCCAACGACAAAACTAACGAAAGATAAATTAATTAAATATTCTATAAAGTTGCCTTTTGTATATACATCTGTCGCTTTGCAAATGTCGACATTTTATTGATAATATATCTAATGCCCTGAAACTAACCATTATTCGATAGATGATACATCTAATGCCCTAAAACCATCCATTATTCTTGTTTGCGCTCCACACTTAAATATTATATTAAGGGTTGTCTATAGTTGTTGATTTAATTATGAGATAATAACCTGAGAGGGTAACGACTTTTCATTTTGTTCATATTTAGTCATTGAATTTTTTTTTTTTCGTGTTTGATTTACCGATGAATTATTTGAAATATTCATATTTTACCCTTATGATAATAACTTGAGAGGGTAACAAACTTTCCACTTTTTTCATATTTAGTCATTGAATTTTTTTTTTCGTACTTGATTTACCCCTGAATTATTTGAAATTGTTCACATTTTACCCTTATGACCGGTTACAACAGGTCATAAAGGTAAAATATGAACATTTCAAATAATTCATCGGTAAATCAAACACGAAAAAAAGTTAAGTGGAAGTAGGAATGGAGGTTGCTTTAAACCATTTATCCGCGTGAGACTTGATACGAGTCTCTTCAGCAATCAACTCATGAACAACAGAATCCATTGAGGAAAGGGGAGAGCGATGAAGAATCGTTCCACGTAGGCCTTCAAAAATCAGAACGCAAGGCCATCAAGAACGGGACCAAACATTGTTCTTCCCTCCTAGCAATGTAAGACTCAAATTTTTTTAACTCTTTAGATTCAGTAAGAGCCAATTGATCCCACAAATCAGACATAGCAGCATAGAAATCTTGAATACTCTTGTCATTTTGTTGAAGAGCACGAATATCATATTCTAACTGATATTGTTTAGCAAAGTTGGACTGAGTATACAGTTTCTCCAAGTGATTCCAAACTTCATTTGCTATGTCATATTTAGTCAACTGCATACCAATAGACTGAGTAACAAAATTGCTAATCCAAGTAATGACCTTGGAGTTATTAGTCTCCCAAGCATCAACCAACAAATCGAAATTCTCAGCTTGAGGCACTGAGAGTTTGACTTTAGTCCCAGTGACATAGCCCCACATATTCTTCCCACGAAGGAAGTTCTTCATAACATAACTCCAATACGTATAATTCTTTCCATCTAGACGAGTGCTGATTGACTGAAGGGAATCATCATTTCCAAGCATGTTGGCAATGAATAAATAACCAGAACAATAGATAAGCAATCTGAGAATGAGAAGAACAACAAACCAGCGGAAGCAATCAATCGAATAGGCAAGAGATTGAACAGCAACAATGAACTAACAACAACAACAAACGAGTAACAACAAACAAACAAACATCAACAGTGGCGAAGCATCAAACAGATTGAAAACGAAACGACTAACAGGGTTCTAACAACGTATCAAACCTCCGCTCTGATACCATGATAACATTACCATATGATTATGATAAAGAGAAATTACGAGTTTCTCAATGAAAATCATAAAAGGCTATAAAGAATAAAGCGGAGAATAAATACTAGCAAGACAAAACGCTAATGGGCTAAAGACTAAATAGCCCATAAATATGCCGGCTAATAATATATAGGCTAAGTTATTACACCATATATAACATTTATGATTTATACACGCAATTACTAGTTAAATGCTCACAAATTAAGAAAAACAGGACTTCAGTTGAAGTTCGTATAAACTATTTTGAAACTTAACAACAACTAAAACTATATCATAGAATAGATAAAGGGAGAAGCACGTATCTCAATTGTGCCAACCATTCAAGAGAAAAAGAAAAAAAAACATTATATCTACCAAATGGGAGATATTTTCAAAATAAATATGCAGAAAACTAGATATATAAAGGGGTGGTTGGGATTGTTTATTTAGAATGCTTAATGAATTATTATGTTTTGATTTTTTTAATAAAAAGTTTTAAATGTTTGAATAGAAAGATTTCATAAATACATATTGATTTATTTAAGGAGTTTTTTTGATAAATTATTTCTTCATTAGACATATACGTATCATTACCCAATAGTAAAAACCAATTTATCAGCTTTTTAGGTTTTCTTACCGGATAAACGAAAAAAAAACTTTTCTTTTTTACTAAAAAACATAAATTGTTTTAAATAATCGATATCAAACATCCCCAGAGTTTCGGATTTTAAGTATCATTTCTATAGAATTAATGTTAACATTCAAATAGGTGGGAGCGGAATAATAGTCAGAAACTGCTAATGTATATGAGGCCAAATTTAAACTTGATTGATCATTGACATTTTGTTAAAAGGACTGTCAAATTTTTAAATATAATTACCAAAAACAGTAATTTCGCTTGTAACACAAGATTATGTGATTATCAAATACCCTCTTCAAACCATAACAATTTATCATATCTAGGGGTGAGCAAACCCAAACCAAGAAACCGAGAAACCGACTAAAACCGACGAAACCGAAACCGAAGCAAAACCGACGGTTATGGTTTGAATTTTTTAAAAACCGAAAAATCGGGTTCGGTTTCGGTTTTTACCCAGAAACTGACCCATCCAACCCGAGAAACCAAACCATACTTAAAACCGACAAACCGCCCCAAGAAACCGACCCATCCAACCCGAGAAACCGACCCATACTTGATTGTTTTTTTTGTTTTAATAGACTATTTCGGGCTTTGGTTGTAACTTGTAATAGACTATTTGTTGTAAGACTCATGTTTTTTGAAGTATTTAACTTAAATTTGGTGTTTTTGAAGTATTTAACTTGTTGCTTCATTTATGGAAAATGGGTTAAAACCCAAAACCCATGGGTTTAAACCCAGAACCCGTGAATGTATGGGTTGAACCCAAGAAACCGAAAAAAACCGCTCAAACCGACCTCAGAACCCGAGAAACCGAACCGACCAGAAACCGATTCTATTGGGTTCTGAAAACCAGAAACCGACCATTTATGGGTTGGGTTGGGTTTGGGTCCAAAACCGACCCAAACCGACCCATGCACAACCCTAATCATATCCATGTAAAAACTAAAAAGGTATAACTGCGAGTGAACTAGTAAATTTAAGAAACTAAATATAAATATACGATACCACATTAGAACATATTATAATGTTAATTCATAATTGCACGTGGGAATCTTGATACAATGCACTTAGTCATGCTACATACTTCTTATCCCACCCATTTGCCACCCCAAGTATCTTTTCTTATAGTAAACATTTTTTAATATAATTTTTTCTATTGCGTTGCGTCAGAAAGACATTACTTTTAGTTATATAGACGAAACTTGATCCGGACCGTTTGATAACTTGATTTTACGATGCACTTGGACTGATTTTACAATGCATTGGAATAGAAAAGGGTTGAGTTCAAACACACCCAACATCACTTGAAAAGGAAGTGGACATAGAAAAGAAAATGCACACATGCATGCATATATACATGTGATATATATATATATATATATATATATATATATATATATATATATATATATATATATATATATATATATATATATATATATATATATATATATATGTGGGTGGGATCGGTTGAGAACTCATACTTTCCCGAGAACCCGACAACTAAAAGTGGAGCGTTAGATCAAAACTAATTTATTAAGGGTATGATCGTAATCATATCAATCTCATTTAATATTTAATTTTTTGTGTTATTGGAAATATTAATAGAAATGTCTAAAAAATTACATAATAAATCAAATTTTCGGATTTTAAATAAAATATTATTTTTCAATTTTTTTTAAAAAAGTGCAGATTTTTTTAATTTTTTTATAGAAAACATGAACTTTTGAAAAAATAATTGAAAAAAATATATTTTTCTTAAAAAACTACAATTTTTTGAAAGCATTTA